CTCCTATTGCTCCCGCCGGTGCGGATCCAAGCACGGGAGAAGGCGATTATGTCCCGATCAAAGGCAGCGGCCAGATCCCATTTCAAAACAGAGCGGGAGGGAGGAGCGGGGAGAGTATGGGACGGCTTTTTTTTTTTTTTTAGTTAATTTATTTCTAGGAGGATCCTCCTCTCCAATCTTGACGCAATCCCCAGGCGGCTCAGAGGGGGTGGAAACCTGTTCCATCGCCAGCGGCATTTGTCAAAAAGGCCGAGGAAATCTGTCGCGATCAGCCCCTTTTCCCCTTACCTCAGGCATGGCTGGGCGGGTAAACTTCACCTCGCGTACAAAAGCAAAAACACTCCGGCCCTCAAACTTTAGCCCTATGAAGACATTTCTTTCTACCCCGTTTCTTCCTTCTCCTCCCCACAACGCACCCATTTCTCCAATTGCCAGAAAAGTCCAAGTTTTTCTTTCCATGGTATCTCTGTCTATGAACCCCAAAACTAACCAGCCTCACTGAGCCAAGTGGATTGTGTAAACTGCAGCGCTGTGCTTAGTTTATGATGTGGTGTGTTTTACAAGCTGAGGAAGGGAATTCAGTCCATTATGGTTAACTAAGAAGTACATCTCTCACAAGAAAAAATAAATAAATATAAATATATAAAGAGAAAGAGCATCTGAATCCAAGGCAAGAGATGAGGGACCTACTTTTTGCCCCCTGAAAAAAAAATCTCTACACCGATTGGTCATCTTCAAGTCTCTCCTGTGGAAAGCACCCTTCATAGACAAAGACAACTTTAAACAAATATATTGGGTATTTCAGATTGGTGGCTGCAGTAGTTACAGAAGAAAATCTATGTTTAAGGAGAGTTGCTGAGAAAAAAAATCAGTTTCTTTAGGAAACTGAAAATAATATGTAATAGCAACACACAAATGCAAGATTGTGCCTGATTTTGACAGGAACTTCTGGATCTTTATAAAACAAATATATAGCAAACATCAGGTTGTATCTAGAAGATAAAACATGGGACATGAAGCTGAAAATCTAAATGGCATATCTAAATGGTATTTTTTTTCAAATAGTCAGCAAATATGTCAGGGGCAGGATCCAGCCAATACTTTTTTATTACACTAAGAAAGGTACATGATCAAATCAAATATTTTCCATCACAGAGCGTAAAAATGGCTGCATTATTATGCATCTGGCTAACATCTGGCTAACAATCAACCAGATGTTCAGACTGGATTTGGCATTTTTATCCACCCGTCGAGTCCTTCCCAAGGACCTGGGATAGGAAATGTTTGTTGATGTTATATTGTGATATTGTTGCAGAATGTAGGCTGTTCCAAATAAAGCTGACTCTTGCAATTGACCAATGGTGATTTTGGCAATACCTATGATGTTCAAGTGGTGCTTCAGTTGTTTTGAAGTTGCACCCAAGGAGCCTATTACTACTGATACTATCTTTACTTTTTTGCCACAGTTGTTCTGTTATTCTGTTATTATTGTTATTATGTTATATTAGTGCTATTTTGGTAGTATTTAAAAACATGTGACTACAATCTGGGTGTTTAAGTGCCCAGCTCACTATTACAGTATTGCAGGGAGCTGTGGTCATGTGATAACCATTTGCAACTTTGACGGCCGCCTTCCCAAAAGCAAAGTCAGTGGGGAAGCTGGCAGGTAAGGTCATAAGTTACTTTAGTAAATGACTCATGCTGGCCCTCTCTCCAGCCTCCCATGATTTGAACACAGCCTGAGCTGGCCCTCCCATAAGTCCTGCGTCAACTGTGCCAGCCCTTCCCAGCATTCCCCTGTGAGTATGCCTATGCTCCTTATCTCAGACTCCTGCCTCTTCACGCA